TGATGTATTACAATAGTGGTTTTCACCATCATAAGTCTACGGGTCTCTCCCGTTGCACAAGGCTCACTAGCCTACTAGGCTTACTAGTCTAGGTCACACACTACTAGACTCACTAGCCTAGCTCACAGTCACACTCAAAGTTAGCCTTCGGATATGCTCATCTACAGCTTACACTGACGGCCGCTTTCATCATGCAACCGCCTAACCTTCAAACCGCCTAACGGTTTAACCGCCTAAACTCCGTACACGCACGCCGGCGCTCACTAGTTCAAACCCTACACGGGTCGAACCCTAATCACATCATGTGGCATAGTGATTCGGCTGACCATAATCACGGAATTCTAACACTCCCACTCAGACGAATTACTCTAGCATCTAAATCGTCACGCTCCTCTTGCGGGCTGTCTTCTTTGCCTCAATGGCGTCACCCACACGCCTCCACTGTCGCCATCGTCGCTCCCAATCCTCAGAGATAGCAGCCTACTTGCTTCTCTAATAGATCTCTAGAAACCTTCTCCTTCCCCTTGCTTGCAGGAGTGAATGCGGCAGGCGCGGCCTCCGGGCTGAGTGTATTGGTGGAAGGCTTTGCAAGCTCCCCTTCAGAGCTTTCGCGCCGTCCCCAACTCTGAGATGCTGGAAACACAGATCCGTAATTTGGTCGAGAAAAGACGCGAGGCGCTTGTTCTTCAACATGGACCCACCTCCAATCTCGCAAAGAGATCGGAACACTACCCTCTGATACCACTGTGACGCTTGGCCAGTTTAAGCGAAGCGCTGGCAGAATAACCACATACACAAACGGCAGCCATGTGCAGAAAACCATGGTTGCAGGCTTTCTTGGACGAAGGCGCAGCTCTGTAAAAATGTTTTCTTTCCCCTCAAGACAGTTCTGCTCGCTGGTTGGGACTTGACTTCAAGGATCCCTGCAAGTTGAACCAAGTTTTGTTCCTCGCTCGCAGTCAGTGAAGTCTTGAATCATGGAGGGGCAGTCTCGAGCGCGAGTCGAGGTCTGCATCCAATCATTTCCAAGTCCCCCGTCCAGCTGTTGAGGTAGCTTATTGATTCAATCGCATAGTAGAGCACAGTGCGCCACGCCAAGCAATCCTGGTCCTGACAGCTTAACAAATTGTTTAGGACTGAACAGAACTGAACAAAACTAAATATCATCATTGCCCTACCATACATCTTAGCCGGTGGCATGATTACAACTAATTATTTCTCATCAATAAATGGCCTAGCTCATGCCGATACGTCGGCAAACTGGCAAACCCAAAGGTTACTTCTTGTGCGATTGTGCGGTTAGACTTAACCATAGCCCAATCATCACAACCGGAATAGTCGACTAAATTGTTTAAGGTTGTTTAAGACAACGTCTCACGAGATCATGATGATTGCCGGATGCTTCAAGCACCACGCTGAAGCTACTAGTAGTAGACGTATATGTTTCACCAACTAGTCACTTAATTCAATTCAAAAAAGAAGACGAAAAAAATCCATTCATGCAAGCTGGGCCTTAGTATCGCGTGGCCTAAACAGACTTCAAACTTGTCAATTTGAATTTGCTAATTATGGTCCGACCCAACATCGAAAGTTGGAAAACGAGACTTGGAAATTCAGCTATTAAAGGGGCCATGCACGTCAGCAAAGCAGCATGGCAATATTAAACGTGAGCTTGATAGGCATGTGTTTCGCACAAGCCAAGCACTTGTCACAATTGTACGTATGATTCGGTAAATGCAACTCATTTATGCCGCTACAGTTAGTCAAATTCACTGCATGCATCCGAATGCAGACGTACTTCGATATCAAAAATCCGCATATACCGCGAAGGCACTCTCATAACTTGCGAGTCAACCTTAATCATGCATGTGCATGCATTTCAACTCGTCGAACTTCAGCTGGCAAGATGCAACGTACCGGTTTTGCACGAGAAGATTGACGACAGAAGGTTTTAAGAACAGTCACCATAGTATTGATGCAAGTCGATACTTACTAGCAAGCTAATCATACTCTTTTGACATGCCTCAATTTATGTGAACGTACTCTGAAGCAATGAAAGCCACGAGAAGCCAGTGAGCATCCTTGAGCCCTCAAGGAAAGCTTGAATATGTCTGCATTAGTGTCATAGGAGTTGAACCATAGGCCGATTAACATCCTTAAAACAGGGCAGCATTTACAACTTCGTTTTGAAGAGGGTAACAGCTAGAGCCTCCTTTGACCGGATGCTCAAAGGGACGCGGGTATTTCACTAGTGGACACACTATACATTACCGTCGCTGCTTTCCCCGTCCGTCCAACACAACTGCTTGTTATGCATTTGCCGATCTTGCCGTGTCGTTATCCATGCGGTTCAACGTGCCTGCCAGCTGTAGGTCCTCGCCTATGGTCATGTCTCGCATTGCCGACGCCCCAATCCGTCCCCCCTTGCTGCAAGCTCGCGCCCCCGCTCCCCCCCCGCTCGCCTCCTTTGGCAGCTCCTGCCTGTGCAGCCCCTCGTGCCGCCTCTCTCCGCGAGACGCTCCCTCGTCAAGCATACCCTTCCCGCCTGCATTCCCACACACCCGCAGCGCCGCCAAGCTTCCCGCCAGCTCCGCTGTTGCCCCTGCGTCGCTGCTGCCCCGCGCCTGCCTGCCCGTCCCCCACCTTCCCCGCCGCAGGCGCGGACCCCCCTCGTGTGGCTGTGGCCCCCAGTGCGGCGCCCCTCCTGGGAGGCCCCCTGGCATGCTGCCGGCGGCGGTGTCAATCTTGGCGTACTTGCTGCGCTCTGGCTCCTGCCCCTCGTTGCCGCCGCGGGGGCAGCCCTCCTCGGGCGCGCCGCCAAAGCTGGGCGGCAGAGGCGCGCCCGCCACCGGGCTGGAAGGAGCGGGGGCCAGGTGAGAAGATGCGGCCATTGCAGTGAGTGAAGCGCCACTTATCCCCAGGGGGGTGACGGGACAAACCCACAATTTGTTGGAACTGGCTGGGCATGTGGGATTATTCTGTGTACAAGCGATTCCTTTCTGCTCATAATAGATACAAAACATGCTTTGTTACTGCACCTGCATTTCTCAAAGATTCAAGCGGCGTCTCTGTATGAACTGTCCCCCTGATTCTGGGCCTGACCGAACACGTTTGTTCACACCAGCCGCCTTCAGACCTCCCTAGTCCAGTTCACTCGAAAGAGCCAGGCTGGTCGAAACTTGGGACAACGAGCTAAGGTTCTCTGGGTGCTCAGTGCGATAGAAGATACGGGATAAACTACGACTCTTGTCAGTGCCCTAATGATATTTTCCATCTTTGTCTGATAGATTCATAAGACAAAATGCCCTGCTCTACAAACATTGGGAGCAAGAAACTGCAAGATCGCGATAAGGTCAGCTCGAACATGTCGCTTCCGGCAAAGATTTGTTTTGAAGCTCGGCAAGAACTGGCAATATGTTTGCTCAACAGAATCACTGAGATCAGAGAGGTTCTGCACCTGTTCATATTCAGCCGCATGATCCCGGCCGCCTCCTCCACCCCCGCATCCCGGCCCCCCCGCCCCTCCCCCGCGCTCCCTTTCCCGTCCCGCTGCCCCGCCGCGCCTACCCCCGCTGCTGCGCGGCTGCCGGCCCTGCTCGACACGGTGTCCGCGCTCTCGTCGCGCTCCGCGCTGGTGCTGGGGCTCGTGTCCCCCTTGCTCTCCACCGCCACCTCCGCCCCGCTCGTGCTGCTCTCCCCCGCGCCGTCCCACACACCCCCTCCTCCGCCGCTGCGCCGCCGCCCGTCTGCCCCCCAGCTGCTGCCCAGGCGGCGCGCGCGCAGCTTCACCTGGTCCGAGAACTGCGCCTCCGGCGAGGCCAGCGCCGCCACCAGCCCCATCGTGCCCTCCTGCAGCCGCTCCGCCTGCTCCTGCACAGCACCGCACAGCGCCGGCCGTCAGCATGGGGGGGCACGCACCCGGCAGCGCCACAGCCGAGTGCATGCGCGGAGGGACACAGGACTGCTGCTCGAAAGGGACGCACAGGGCGGGGGGGAGGTTGCAGAGACGGCGGCATGGGGCGCTCACCCGCAGGCGCTCGACTGCGATGAGCAGCGCGATGAGGAGGCGCTCCACGTGCGCGCGCACGGAGGGGTCGTCGGCGAATTCGGCGGCGGCGTCCATGGCCTCGCCCAGCCAGGCCTGCAGCTGGGCCAGGCCGCCCTCGCGGAGGAAGAGCGCCGCGCAGTCGGCGCGCGATGTGGACGCCACAATCTGGCGGCAGCAGGAGCAGCAAGAGCAGGTGTCAGCGAGCATGCGCTTCCCCGCGTCCCTCCCGCCCCGCCTCGCCAGTGGGTGTCCCACCGGAATGCAAAGAGCGGCCCTCCTGCCCAGCGGGCCTGCCCTGCGCCACTGGCACTCAGCGCAAGCGGCCGATCGGTCCAGGACAGAAGCGGGGCGCCACCTCGGGGGAGCACTGGTCCCAGCAAACAGCATGCACTAGCACAGTCAGGGTGCCTCACGACAGGAAAATACGCAGGGGTTTGGCGCTCCCTTGATGGAGGCCCTTCCTTGAAGCCGGCACAGGGACACCTGACACAGTTGCATACAGCTGGTTGCCTGCTGGAAGTGCCGGAGAATGTCTGCTGTCCAGACATGTCTGCCCTGGTAGTGGCGCCCCCTCGCGGCAGCGCGCTGCGGCTCACCTTGGCCAGCAGGGCCCTCTTGGTGAGGACCTGCTCTGTGGCATGCGCGCCGGCGTCGGCGTCGAGCTGCACGGTGTGCATGATGTCCAGCATCTTGATGACGCCCGCCGGGAAGGCCAGCCCGCCCGACGCCGCGTCCGTCAGCTCCTCCACCTGAACAAAACACGCACACGCACGCAAGCGCTCAACCATCGAACCATGCAGCAGCACGAGCGCAGCTGCACGAACGCAGATATCTCTCGGCACACGCGCGCAAGCTGGCGGACCAACAGCCAGGGGGAAACGGAGGTCATCTTAGATGCCCGCGCTCCTGCTTGTTCTTCGGCTGCCACAAAGCACGTGCGTTCACCTCATGCATGTCCTCAAGGCGCAACGCGGGCTCCATGACGCGCTCGTCGGTGGTGTCAGAATGCTCGCGCTTGTTTGGCTCCACGGAGTGGTCCCCCCGCTCTCGCTTGCGGCCGGTGCTCTTCCTGGCCATCACGGGGTGTCGCGCCTCATCGGGGGAGGCGCACACAAACTCAGCCCCGCGCCAGCCTGCACGCCAGGCGTCCTAGCAGCCTCTACTGACGCGAGGCCACGCACGCGGCAGCAGCCGCAGCCATTGAGCCAACTGAACCTGCAATCTGTGCAGAAGTCTGGCTGGGGGTGCCAATCAGGCCTGAGCCAACTCATATTTTATTGCATACTAATATTAGGATAAAGTTTAGTACATATAAGGATCTAATATGTAGCTCTTAAGACACGCCCGGGGAACGGTTGGGGTTGGGATGGTGGTTAGGGTGGCTTCGGGGAACGTAGCGCGATCTGCCTGTTGGTTAGGGTTTCTAATCACGTTGCTACCCCGGGTAATTTCTCACAGGTAGGTATTAAATCCTCATAAGTAACAGTATTTCAAACATGGGTACCCTTATCATTTATGCATTTTTTGCGGCCAGCTGCTTGAATCTTGATAGTGCACGGTAAATGATGGCTGCAGCTCAAGAAATTAACGCCAGCCTCATGCAACTTCTTTGTCCAAGTCCCGTCACGCGGTCCTTCAAGCAGTCACAGTGGTTGCCCCGGTACTTACAAGCCGGCCAGTGGCCCCCGGGTCCACCTCGGAGGGCCCGGCTGCTCTGCAGGGCCGTATACCTAGAGAGTCGGGACAGCCTTCGATAGACCGGGCCGAGGACGGGAGGGACCCAACCAGTCACGGTGAACGTGACGTCGGTATGGCGGTACGCCGTACGGTAATATTCCTTGTGCCTTGCGCATGCTGCGCCTGTTGACATCAGGACTCCAGCTGTGCCTTGTGCGACTCGGAGACGGCCCGGGAGGCCCAGGCCAATGCCATTGCCAATGGGGCCTGTGGCAGTGCAATGACATCAGTGCTGTGGGCATTGAAAGCCACCCTCCCGCGAGGCGCCTGCTGCTTGGATCGTGGATTCGTGCCATGGTCGCTTCTTCTGCTCCCTTGACCATTACATAGGTTGTCCTCCATCCCTGACTGAGTCAATGGCGCAGCGCAGCTATGGCCCCGGCTACCAGGGTGGTCGCCAGGGTCGGCCAGCGGGTGAGACTGGCCAAGCTTTCAACCCACTGCAGGAGCTTCGCCGAGTGTGTTGCCTGTTGTGCCACTCTTGGCCGCCTTGGTGTGCCCTCTTGTGCCATGCTGCCTTCCCCCGCGTGCACTGCTTCCCGGGCTCACTCCGCTGCGCCCGTGTGCAGATACCCCGGGGGCAGGCCCCGGCCTGGCTGCACGGCCCGACAGGTCAGGAGGACTGGTTTGTGGCATCCGGACGTGGTGCGCTTGCCATTGCTGCTTCCCACCACGGCACGCCTCTGCGCTGCTGCCTTGCTTTCTTCTTGCTGCCTGCCTGCGCTTGGCTCCCTGCCCGTGTGCGCGTGTCCTGACCCTCTGCTCACTGGCTGCCCCAGGGTGGCGGTGCTGCGCCAGCACATTGTGCGCCTGGCGGACAAGGCCCCCGGCTCACAGCACCTCCCTGAGGCCGAGGAGCAGCTGGTGAGTGCGCCGCGCCCCGCGCCCCTCGCGGATCACTGCGTCGCCGCTGCTTGGGTGGCCGCGCCGCTGCGCTGGCGGCCCGCTTGGTGGCCGCTGCGGCTGACGCGGCTGCTGGTGCGCGTGTGTGCAGGAGCTGCTCTCCCAGGCGCTCAAGCGCGACCTCGTGGCGTACGAGGACCAGATCCTGCAGGTGCGCACCGGGTCCCCGCGCTCAGTTTTGGGGAAGCCCCACCCTTGCCGCGGGGCGCTCGTGCATGCGGCTTGCCGGTGTACGATGCGGGGTGGTGGCTGTGGCGCTGACCGTGCGTGTGCGTGTGTGCCCTGCAGATCACGCTGGAGTGCACCTGGGAGCTGCCCCACAAGCTGCCCTACTACGCTGCCCTCGTGAGCGCCCACCACCCCACCACCCCTCCATCACTACCAACCCCTCCCACTGCGCGTGTCCCCCTCCCCCTCTGCCCTGCATCGCGCCTGCTGTCTCCCCCCTGCCCGCCGCGCTGGTCGTCTGACTGTCCCCGGCGTCCCTGCTGTGCAGCTGGGCCTGCTCAACGTGGCCGACTACAACTTTGTGCAGCGCGCCGTGGAGGCCGTGCACGCCGCGCTGCAGGCCGGCCTGGCGCGCGGGGACCCCCTCACCATTCGCCTCGGCCTGCGCATCCTCGCCACTCTGGTCAGTCCCACGCTCCGTGCCGCCCGCCCTCCGCATGCCGGTCTGCTAGCCGCCAATGCGCGACTCGCTGCCAGACATACCCCTAGGGTGGCAGCCGACAGGGGTGCCTCGCTCCATGTCTCTTGCTCCTGTGATGGGATGCGCTGTGTCCCCTGGCGCAGGCGGGCACCCTGGTGGCGTCCCCCGCGGGCGTGCTGCGGCTGTTCCAGGCGCTGGTCACGGATGCGGTGGCGGCGCTGGACGCTGCGCCCGCGTGGCAGGCGCGCGGGGACTGGTACGTCTACGCCGTGCTTGGGGCCCTGCCCTGGGGGGGCAAGGAGCTGCAGCGGGTGAGCCGCCACCGGAGCGCACGCGCAGGGATTGCCTCTGCCAGCGCCTCTCACAGCCGCTGGTGCCTGCTGGGCCACCTCGCGCTGCAGTCAAACATGCTGCGGCGCGACTGTCTGGGCCCAGCGGCTACTTTGGGAGGTCCCCTCTGCCTCTGGTACTGCGCTGACCCCCCCCTGTGATGGTGCGTGCAGGGCGCCCCCGCTGCGCTGGCGGAGCTGCTGGACCTGGCGGCCACCTACTGCCAGCACCGCGACCACCTCGCCCTGCCCGCCCTCCACGCGCAGCACACCCTCCCCGACGGCACCCCCGCGCCCGACGCCCCGGTGCGCCGCTGCCCCCACTGCTTGCCTGCCGGCACACACCGCCGGGCCTGCTCGCCATGCGAGAAACAACCCCCGCAGCACAGCGCCTCGCACAGTGGCCCTCGGGCTGTCCACTCCAGGATGGGTCGCTGATGCGCCCTTCTGTTGCTGCAGGATTATGTGGAGGCGCTGCAGGCGGCCGTGGCAGCCCTGGCACAGGACGCCACCTGGACCGTCAAGAGCAGTGAGCCCC